CACAGCTTCCAATGTCGACGCTTTCCCTGGTAGTGTGGACTGACAAAGTCGAATTACTGTCCTTAGTGTAGACACACACGTTCAACTTTCTAATATCGATTGCACATATTCGATTTAACTAAAATCGAACTACTCTCGTAGTGTAGACATACCCTTAGTTTGGCTGAGTGTGCAGTTTGGTTTTTTTTAAATTGCTGAATTGCTAATGCTACATCTTGACACCAATTTATTACATAACTAAAATCAACTGCAGAAGAACATGGAATTAAATGTAATCTTGTGCATCAGTCTTGTCTAACACATTAAGCAGTAGCACAACTGAACAGTAAAAAAAAAAAAAAAAAAAAGGGAAGCTCCAGTTCTCCAATCTACTGTTTTTTTTAAGAGCTAGATCCTACTTCCATCAACTTGGATGGTGGAGGGTCAAGGCCTGAATGAGTCATGACTGCAGTGGCCTGGGTAACTTCTATATTGTGGTTAAGAATGTTGATTTTAGCAAGTGACCCCCTGCCAATGTAGGAGTCAAACTACTAGCTTTCTTTCCAAATAAGTTCAAAGTTAAGCAAACTTGGCAGCTTTCTTTCCTTTTTCCAGTAGTCTATTGCACATATTGATGAGAAAACATGTGTGTATAATTGTACATATTGACCCAACAGACTACATGTCTTCCTAAAGATAGTAAGAGAACAAAGTTAATCAGTTATCAATCAAATGAAATTCAGCTGTACCAACAGCCAGGATTACAAGTCTCAAGCAATTACAAAAATTAGTTTCTTTCTGAGAGAGTTGGATATAAATAAATCAGGAAAAAAATTGCATGATTTGTAGCAACTATTGACCAGAAAATAAGGAGTGGCAACCCAGTTAGCTGCGTAACATCTAGGCATTATGACTGCCTCGTGTTCACTCAGGTCCAGAACACTGCCCCTCCTCCCCCAACCCCTCCGATTCACGTGTATGTACAGGTTTTTCTAGAATGAAAGAGATCAGGAAACTTACTCTAGACTAGAGTCACTAGACTCTTAATGAATTAAAGAAAGTGTTGCTCTTCAGACTAGTTTTCTATTATTCTTTACCTTAATTGCACTAAGTAAACATATTACAACTCTAATGCAAATCTGTCATGCAAAGAGAATAGGCTCCTATGGTATTATGTTTTCTACTGTGGCCTTTAATGCCACAGCTGTGGTAGTGTATATAGTGGGCATTGCAATCTATCAGTCTTAGATGCATTAGGGAGGCAGCTGGAATAAATCTGGAAGCACTGGAGAAACGCTCACCAGGTGACCACGGCTACATACCTTCACAGGTGGTAGCATGTGCCTCCTTGCACCCGTTATCAGGTCCTGCTCACCTGCTGGTGTGGAAGGAATGCATGGCCATTGTTCTGTTCCTTTCAGGGTGACGTGGCTATGACTCACCATCAGCAACACTACTAACCTTGTGTTCCAGTGTGGAAGGACCGGAACTGTGGCTACCCCTCCCACTGATGTCCTAGACAGGAGGGAGGGAGCTCCCTTTGAAACATCATCCTGGGGAGCAGCAAAGCATGGGGATTTGCCATTCTGATCTTCTAGCCCTCACCCCTCTAAGGGGGCACACTTGGGAAGTGGAGACCTCTGTTTCCATTCCAGTGAGTATGAGCACGAGCATACAAGATCTATTGGTCTCCTGGGCTATAGCCCACCTAACATTTGGACTTACTGCTCATACATATGCCAAAACACATGCTCCCTCCCCCCCCCGAACACTAAGCTTTTGAATTAAATGGGATCCAGACAAAACCCCAAACCAAAACCCAGCGAACAAGATTTGACAAAACTTAAATAAACTTTCCCCCATCTCTAGTCTCTCTCTCTCTCATACACACACAGAATGCTTAAAGGCCCAGAGCCCTGATCCCACATTTCTTGAGCATCCCATACTCTCACTGAAGTCAGAGGGAGTACTGTGTGTAGGCCATGCAGGATCTAGACTTCTCAAAGGCTAATGGATTACTCTTCACAACACCCCCGTGAGGTAGGGAAATACTATTAGCTCCATCGGCAGATGGGGAACTGAGGCACAGGCAAGTAACTTAGCCTCTGTAAGTTTACAGCAGGAATGTGTAGAAGAACCAGAAATAGAATCCAGATCTTCCAAACTGCAGCCTAGTGCCTTAACCACAAGACCATCCTCTTGACCTGAGGACTATCAATCTGGCACTTTCCACAATCACTAAAAATTCCCATAAATGTACATTAAAATATATTCTGTTGGCCTTTAGAATTTTGTTATAGTAAATTTTTCTGGATTAAACGGGTGTTTTGCAGTTGGACAGTATTTAGCTTAATTTTATATTAGCTGCTGCTAATTGCAGAAGGTGCGCTGATGGGTCTAAGCATCACTTATCACAGCCATGACACATTTCAGCTAAGTAGCACAAAAATGCCAAAACGTTGAATGTTTAATGTCAAAACCGAAAGCAGTGTGAAGGGATTAAAATCCTTTGGTGTCCTTTCATAATTGATGTGATAAAATACTGTTGGGATTAATGAGACAGCCCATAAACTGTGCCTTTGATCTTGCTCTCTTCTACAGCATGGCTTCTTGTATGAATGGAGAACAGCAGACACGGCATATGCCAAGGCTGGATTTTTTTTTTATTAGGAACTTCAACATGATGTGTTATGAGAGGGGAAAAAAAGAAACGATATCCTCTAGATGCTTCAAAGGAAATTAATACCACATGAAGATAACAGCTCAAAGCAGAGGGCTAACTTCTTTTGCTACGTTAAAGCTAAATGCTTCATTAAAAGGAAAACTGTGAAACCTCGCAGAAAAAATAAACCACCCCTCACCCAAAAACCAGAAGACAGAATAGCTTCTTCCCTAAAAGTGTCTGTGTGGGGGCTTAAGATTGATCCACTTCTCTGTGTGGAGACTATAATCCTGTAGATCAGGGGTCGGCAGCCTTTCAGAAGTGGTGTGCCGAGTCTTCATTTATTTACTATAATTTAAGGTTTTGCGTGCCAGTCATACATTTTAACGTTTTTAGAAGGTCTCTTTTTGTAAGTCTATAATATATAACTAAACTATTGTTGTATGTAAAGTAAATAAGGTTTTTAAAATGTTTAAGAAGCTTCATTTAAAATTAAATTAAAATGCAGAGCCCCCCGGACCAGTGGCCAGGACCCGGGCAGTGTGAGTGCCACTGAAAATCAGCTCGCGTGCCGCCTTTGGCACACGTGCCGTAGGTTGCCTATCCCTGCTGTAGATGATTAGAGTGAAAACCGATTAGTCCTTTCTTTATGCTCCAGTCCAGGGGCTCTCCAGCCTTTTCATTCTGAGGACTCCTTTGTACAAGAGACAGTCTCATGGAGACCTGCTCTCCCAATAGTCCAATCAGCCTACAGCTGGATTTTCAAACTATTTCACTCTGTAGCCTGCCTCGTGGAATGACATGGCCAAATCCCACGGATCTTGCTTCCCTGTCCCAAAGTACTAGCAACATTTTTTATCCATTGCAAGCTCTCACCCCTTCCAGGGTCACTGGAAGTTGCTGGGGGACAGTAAATTCAGCAACATTCAGCATTAGACTATGCAGCAATTTGTTATGCAAATTCAGGTGGGTTGCTATATAAGCATGTCTCAAACAGTGACTGTTCTCTGGCTCTGTCCATTCCCCTTGTCTCCACCATGCATCCTTTCCCTAAGGGTACGTCTACACTTACCTCCGGGTCCGACGGCAGGCAATCGATGTTCTGGGATCGATTTATCGCATCTTGTCTAGACACTATAAATCGATCCCGGGTCGATCCCGGAAGTGCTCGCCGTCGACGCCGGTACTCCAGCTCAGCGAGAGGAGTATGCAGCATAGACGGGGGAGCCTGCCTGCAGCGTCTGGACCCGCGGTAAATTCGGACTAAGGTACTTCGAATTCAGCTACGTTATTAACGTAGCTGAATTTGCGTACCTTAGTCCGAAGTGGGGGGGTAGTGTGGACCAGTCTTAAGTGTAACCTGACCTGCACACCAGCCAGTGCGTGGCTGCAAGCTTCCTTTCTCCAAACGGGCTGTGAAAGGTGGAAGAGCAGCCTCAGTCCATAAGTGCCTGTAGGAGGTCAGAAAGGAATCCCACATCCTCTGTAGAATTGCACAACTGGTTAAGGAGTCCTGCATGTGCATTGGTGGAACTGGAAGGTGGATACCTTCCTCTGAAACATCATGTATTAGGCCACAGCCAGAGGCAAGATGGAATTGTGATCTGATCCACTAAAGCAACATTCAAATGTAATTATTAGCACTCCAGGAGGCCCTCTTTGGATAAATACTTTTTTTCAGCCCCCCTCCCTATTCCCAGTCATGCCATTTTCAACCACTCCTTCTGATTATCTCCTTTCCAGTTAATATATCCTCACATTCAACCTCCAGGAAATAGTCATTGTCCAATGGAATCACATTCAAAACTCTTCTGAGATTATACATGTGGCCTGGAACTTTCCATTTTTTTTCGTTCACATGATAAACCCAAGGATCATAAATCAGAAATTTGGAAGCAATATTCTTTGTTGAAGTTTATGCCCCGGGGTTCCAATGCCAATGTGCATCTAATCCAACAGATGGATCCCTCATGGGTATTCTGAACCCCCCCCATCCTGCAAATCCTTATTTACTAGCCATAATTTTCTTTACAACCCTAATTTTATTCTGGTAGTTCCACTGGTGTCACGTGAGGAAACTTAGTAATAGACAGGATAGGTGTGTACAAGAGGACAATGCGGAATGTTTACCAAGGTTTGGCTCTCTAGCAGATGATACCACTCTGCATTTCTTGTTTTCTTCCTCCATTTTAGTAAACCAGAAGATAAAATACTCATCATGGGGTTTTCCTTTTGAATATTCCTTCATTTGGGGTTTACTCTCAGCCAGCAAAACCAACAAAACCAACAAACCTCAAACCATCATTAACAGCAAAACAACTTGGGTCAAAAGCTTTTTCCAAAGAAATGGCTTTCATACCTCTGCACGTGGTCTCTGAACCAGACCAGAGGCCATTTGGCTGACACAGCCGGATGCTGCTTCCCACTAGGTCAAATCCTGCTTTACATCGGATTCCGCAGGCAGCGTTGAAGTAGTTGTTGCAGACGTTCTGGATAAAGTAACCATTTTCAGGGGGCTGCAGCTCAGGGCAGTGGACAACTAATTAATCATACAACAACAGGGTTAGAGATTCCAGAAGCATTATTTTCATTTCCTTTCCCACTCGGTTAGTTTACGTCTTTAATTTGGCTGGTTTGATTTGTTAATTTATAGTATCTATGCTTTTGAGGGCATGCATATGAAACACTATAATAAACCCCACAGATGCTTGACCATCTCATTTCAGCGAAACAGTCCAAGAAGGGCTAAGATTACACTGTCTATGCGTCCTAATGTGCCTTTCCGCTCTATTCATGTTCTCTGTTTGGAAAGACTTACGTTCACAGGCATGTCCTGCAGTACGATACCCATCCTTGCAAACACAGTCCTTGATGGAGGTACTTCCAGGGGGAGAGGTGTGGTTGTCATCAGGACAAGAGATGCAAGTGCTGATTCCACCAGGTGAACCTTCAGGTTTATATGTTCCTGATGGGCAAGCTATCAAATAAAAAAGAAGACTTTTAGAAGAAGAAAAGGTGAGACTCCATCCTTTCTGAACGTTCACTGGACTACCAATTTTTGTAAGGATTTTTTAATGCACACTTCCTTTTTAGGGTATCTTGAGGTGTGGGGATGACCAAATTGCGTGTTTAATAGCTATGCTTTTGTTGCTCCCCTTCCTCCTCTATTTATACATCATTAATTCAAATTCAAAGCAGGACCTATGTATGTCTATAAAGTTATTAGTGTGTATAGGGTCTGAACCAAAGCCCAGTGAACTCAGCGGAGGTCTTTCCATTGACTTCAGTGGGTTTTGGATCAATGCCATAATTTACTTTCTACATAAGGAGCCTCACTCTGGTTTTACATTTGTGTAACTCCATTGACACTATGGAGTTATTCCTGGATTATACTTGTATAAATGAGATCAGAATCAAGCCCAAGGTTTCCAAAATATGCCAAAATTGGGATCAGGCTCAATAAATAAAAATTCTCGGCATACTGAATTCGCAGAATCTGGCATCTGACTTCACGATTTAGATGCTATGCTATATATAGGTGTGAATCATAGCACATAGAGCAATTAATCAAAACAATTACTCCCCAAAGCCTTTAAAGTAGTTTATACTCTACTCTAGAATTTTAACTCTGTGTGTGCGCAAATGTGCTTGAGAAATATTTAAGAGATGTTGTCAAGAGACAGAGAATAGACACAGAAAAGTATGGGCTAACAGAGGCAGAAACAGGAGAGGTAAGATAGTCCAATTATTAGGGCATTAGTCTGGGACTTTGGAGACCAGGGTTTAATTCCTTAGTCTATCATAGACTACCTGTGTGACATTGGACAAGTCACTTAGTCTCTCTCTCTCTGTCTCAGTTCCTCAATCTGTAAAATGGGACAACAGCACTGCCCTACCTTGTGAGGATGAATACACTAAAGATTGTGAGGCACCCACACGCTATGGTAATTGGGGCCATAAGTACCTTAGACTGCATTCCCTCTAAGATGCTGATGCCTAAGAAATTACTTCCTGAGCTATGAGACGCATGAAAAGTTGCAACAAGCCTAAAGAAAGCTGAAGTTCAGACAGAAGTCTATTAGTTTAAATGCTTACCACTTATTATTCTGTTTAAACTTCTCTTACAGACTGTGGGCCAGATTCTCCATTGTCCTGCATTATGTGCAGTCATTACATCAGTGCAAAGTGGATACAAAACATACCAGTCTGATTTAGTAGTGTTTTACAGCCCCTTTGCACTGATGTAAACAGCTGCATAAGGTACAGGACAATGGCGAATCCGGCTCTGTAGCTTCCGGAGAACTGTGTCCAGAAAAATGTGTCCAATCTTAAATTCTTTAAAATGTCTTTTGTTTCCAGCACCGAATATTTCCTAGCTTTTTCAAGTATTAGAGGTCTAATTCCTGAAGGTCTCAGATTGTGCCAATATCTTTTTTATTTTGACAGAATTGGACCAATTCTATACTTTGAGTGAGTTTAAAAGTTAATACTTTGACATTTGTCTTATTAAGACAAATAGATTTCTACTCTCCCCTGTCCCCCCCCCCCCCAACACATACACACGCCATCACCATCCAGTCAGCCATATCTGGTAAATTATGCATTGAAAAATATAGCTTAGAATATTTAGAGCTTTATTTTCTTGAACATGGTCGCTTCTTGAATATTTTCCACAGATCATATTTTTTCTTTCTCTCTTTGAAAGCTCGCAGCTTCAATTTCAAACTAGGTGATAAAATGATTGAATGGTGCAAAATATTAAGTGATGTAATACAGTGTGTTGCAAGCTGGCTGGCTGGGTCTACGTTGTATAATGGCTCTTTAAAATTCCAAATGAAAGCTCCTAAATAAGAAAGGAAGTAATTAAAGATCAAAACATTTTAGAAGGTCAATTTGCGTCTTGCTAAGGGAAGACCGGAAGGCAAATTTACTCACAACTACAGCAGGAATTCTTTTTTAAGTGACTTTTAAGAAAACACTTGCAAAAATGCCATTTAATTACATCATATTTTTGCCGTCAGCCGCTTCTAGTTCCCTTGTGAGTTCATTAAAAGTAACACGCTCTTTTATGAGAGCATAAAAATGAGCAAGAAAGTGCCATCCACTCTATATTCAGGATCTTTATTGATATTGCATAGAAATAGTTTTAATAAACATTAAACTGGGTTTTCTCCTTAATGACAAAGGATATCTGCCCAGATTAAGCTTTTTAGAAAAATGAAATCTTTACCACTGAAAATGAACAACTGTGTAGTACAATTACACACCACCGCTAAAGACACTTCAATGAAATTGCCTTTACTGCAGTATTCATGGCATTGTCAACCTATTGTAATGGAAATTGCACTACTTTGTGCAATAACAGCAGCAACACAACGATTCTCTTAATAGGCTTCCTGGCAGGTGCAAGTGAGTAGTCCAATATCCAGATGATTTTCGTACTTTGGAGTTTTAACAGACCCAAATTTTTAAGTGAGAGAAGTTAACCATTGGAACAGATCATGGAGGGATGTGGTGGCTTCTCCGTAAGTGGGATTCTCTAAAGATTGAGATTGGAGGACTTTCTAAAAGATATGTTCTAGTCCAGTCAATGATGTGGTGGAACTAGACTCCATGCAGGATTCACTGGGTGAGGTTCTCTGGGCTGTATTCTACAGGAGGTCAGACCTGATGCTCGTAATGGTCCTTTCTGGCCTTGAATCTATAAACAACATTCCATTCTGAATGTCTTTAAAAGGATCCTCCTCTTACAATCTCTGGGCAATCCCCTTTATACTCTGGGAGGGGGGTTGTTCCAGTGACTGTTTTAGTCTTCTCTAATGTCTTCAGAAGGCAGTCATCTGCTCCTGAGCAGTTCAGGGGATGGCTTGTTAGCTGGCTCTCCCATCCAGTTTGTTTGAATGGCTGGCCATTATCTCTCTCTGGACAGTGACCTCCAAGTTGGTGACCTGTCCTTCCCCTTAATCTGAGAGTAGCACACCCTCAAACACTTCTCCTGGGCCCCTTACTGGTCCTTTCCATCCCCATTAAGCTGGAGATAAGATGTGAGAGCACGAGAGCATTGGGAAACCTGTTCTCCCATGATTCGGATGACCGTTTCCAGTCAGGCTAAGTACTGCTACTGTTGCTTCACCTCTGGGTTCAAACTGAATTGTGTTTTGTAGCTGGTAATTTCAGTTCAGTCCTTTGTGAAACTTCAAGTGCATCATCACGCAAACCAAAACACAGCCAGCAGTTCCTGCTCAGGTGAGTCACAAAGGCGTAAAAGAAAAAAAGCACGGTAGCCAAGTATTTTGGGGTGCCTTAGCAGAGGTGTGTGGAAGAGCTTGCCTAGTGTCTGCTGGGAGCAAGTCTTGAGCCAGAGATACCAGCGTTAGGTTTTCAGGACCTGTAAAAAAGGTGTCTTAACAAAAACAGTTCATTTGCAAAAAAATTCTGACTTTTCCTTCTAAAGGAAATTTGAAAGTTCAACCATCTTGTGTGAAGAGCTAGCAATTTGTATTTTAGAAAGAACCATTTCCTCAAAGCTAGGATGAGTCAAAGCCGTAAGCAAATAATGTTATTTGTTTGTAAAAAACGGCCAGGCACATGGCAAGTCTGGCTATTTTTAGCTGAGGTTTCCAAATAGAAATGGATTTTTGCCAGCACATTTGCAAGAGACTACTGACATTGTTAAGGGAGTTTCTTCCCATTGGAAAAGCTAATATCACCAAGTGTCCTTATGTCTTCTTTATAATTGAAACATCTGCTACTGTGACAGGGTCTATCCCACTCATATCGTTCCAGATGCAGAAGTCTCACTACTATCAACAACATCAGGATACAAGCCTCAATCTTTACAAGTCTCACCTATGAAACCACACACCGATCACAAACTTCTCTTGGTCTTAAACAGCCACCAGTCTCTAGATGAAATAACTCCATCAGTAGGATTTACACTTCGTACACAAAAATCACCTCAGGCCTGAGCCCAACTGCAACAGGCTACACAGGAGCTTTTTTGGCAACTGGGGATGGCCAGACTGTCGTGGAGTTATGCTCGACCCATGATGCTGGCTCCATCACCCACTTGTTAAATTTTCAAACAAGCACCTCCATGCTTTCTCCCATGCTGCCCCTTATGCTTGGGAGAAGCTCCATGTAAACATTCACAAAGCTTGTGGTCATTATAGTGCTTCAAAGCCCTCCTTAAAACTCCCCTCTGCCATGAGGCCTACAAAAAACCTGACATGGAACCAGGGAAGTGTATACTAGGGAAGTGTGTGGGAGGGTCCTCTCTTCCCTCTTCTTCCCATGACTGGGAGGAAGAAGATGCCTGTCAAGTGTCAGAAAAGCTTTAGGCGTATTCAGGCATTCAGAGTTAGGAGTCCCGAACAGTGTTCCCCTAGCTCTGTAACTATCTAAGGATTCTGTTAATTCTGCAGCTGTCACCAACAGCAACTAGCATAGGTGAAATGATGAATATCTGCCAATTTGTGTGTGTGTGTGTGTTTTGTGTGTTACTGCTGTTACATGTAACACTTAAGTTTATGCTCTATGCCTCCACTCCACTCCTCTCAGCTTCCATCATAGAGTTTGTTGCCGGCAGAGTTGAGGGAAAGGGTATGTGACTGAAACACTTACTGTTATTTATATTATTGTAGCCCTAGGAGCCCCAGTCCTGGCCCAGGACCCCATCATGCTAGGTGCTGTGCAAAAAGACAGTCCCTGCCCCGGAGACCTTACAATCTAACTATAACACAAGAGACAGCATGTGGATACAAACAGACAGGAGGAGTAGAGGGAAACAATGAGACAATATTGGTCAGCATGATAGGCTGTGTGTGTGTGTACATGTGCATGCATAGGCGCCGACTCCCTGGGTGCTCTGGGGCTGGAGCACCCACAGAAAAAAATTGGTGGGTGCTCAGCACCCAACGGCACCTCCCCGCCCTGCCCCGCCTGCTCCAGCTCACCTCCGCTCCGCCTCCTCTGCGA